CTGTGTTCGAAATTCGAATGCTAAATTAAGGCACTGTCGTGGGCTGTCGAGCTCATGTTACCTGAGTTCTCGAAAAATCGCATGCATCAGAGTGGAGTTGTCGGTTTGGAGTACGAATGCGGGAAAACTTTTCCCATCAATCTCTCTTGCTGTCCAACTGAGAGCGGGTAGTTTGCATTCATTGCCACGAGCTGCCAAAATAATACGAACCACACAGATAACTGGCTATGTATTTACTGAAAGAAAAAGACGGCTCTGTTCTCGTTACAAATAAGCTCATTTTTAATATAAGAATTGCGGCAGTTTATTTCAGCTGACATGAGTAAAATAAAAAGGACCTCCTTAACATCTATAGGTAAGGTTTTGTGCAAGTGTCAAGGCGCCGCGCCACCTATTTAGCGGAGCAAAAACAGATTTCAGACAGAGACGAAGACAGACGATTTCGTTCAAAAGTGTATTAAAGGGACCCTCCCACCTTAACATTAGATTTGAGTTGAGATAGCCAAAATGGGGTCCCTGGCTCACAATTACCGGTTTCGGCACTCACAACATCGAGAAATGCCTTAAATCGGAAATATTGAATTTCAAAATTGCAGCATTTTGATTCAGAGGGGCTAATGCTTAGGAATACCCCTCTGAATGTGTGACGTCAGCGCAAATATCTAATGATTTTTAAATGTTTGACTAAAACGTTTTGTAGCACGCGGTGGTATATGCTATTTGCGCGCAACATCTGCCGCAAACGCCGCACTTCTAAAATAAAGTCGCTAGAAACAGCGGAGATCCCAAAAAAGTAAACAAAAGTAAAAGTCTAATATCTTGAAAACCGGTGAATATTTTTCGGTGAAATTTGGTAGATATTCGTTTTCGCTCTTTCTGAACCGAGCGACATCACTTTCATGCCAATTCATAAACTTTTTTGAAGGTGGGAGGGTCCCTTTAACCCTCGCCCGCACATGCCATTTTCCCATCCTAGAACGCACATGGGGGGGTGGTTGCCACCCCCCCCGCGCCATTTCGTTCCTGTTGGAGATAGAGCTTAGCAGTAAAGACCAAAAAGATTCTTTGGGAAGAGACGAATCCAATGATACCCAGTTTTACCTTCTCAGGTCAGTCATTGACCTTCCAGGTCAGGTCAAACTAAAAAATGTTGCTGTTTTGGGTCACCGTTGGATATCAAGTGCGCTGCTTATCAAATACCGATGACGATGCTGTTTTCTGGTGCCAAGCCAGCTAGAACCTCTTTGTCACGCTATCCGACCAGAATTTTGCTGCTGAGGTCATTTCAGGTCAAGTTAGGTCAAGGTCAATTATATGTGTTTGTATGTCTGTGTGTGTCTGTGTGTATACTGATGTGTGCACCGATTGTTTTTGGGTCCATATCACATGAAATCATGATCTGAGAAGCTTTTACCAAAAATGCAGTCAAAAAACTTCACAAAAAGTAAATTCAGCTTGCCTAAAACGCAATTATCTTAGATGACCTAGGTTGACCTTGACCCTGACCTTGACCCCTGTACATCGTCGAACAACATGTTACATGATAGGTGGGAAGTAAGACTGGCAAAAAAGGCCGAAATCAGGGTGTCAAAAGCTCACAAGGCCCATGGCAAACGCAAGATGTTGAGAATTGGCCATTTGGGTCATGACATGACCTGAAAAACAAGGTCATATCTCCGAAACCAAAAATCACAGAAACTTGAAATTGTCAGTGGACATCAAGAAAGGATAGAGGAGCAGCTATACGAAAAATCAGCCTTCTAGCTCTAAAAATGTTGAGTGCAGAGCAGAAAGACTACCTGGGGGGGGAGGGGGTGGCAACCACCCCCCCCCCATGTGCGGGCGAGGGTTAAAGTGACATAGTTGTCATGTTATCAGGAAACTTGTAGATGGGCGATTCATCTATGCATGTATTTAGTTTCCACTTCCTAGATTCCTCCGCACTATTCAGGTATGCACATTGTACAATGTACCCATGTACATTGTTCACCTAGTACCTAATCGGCTAATCTACGCATCTAACATTGCATGCTTGAATATCATGCGAAACAAACACCCTAAAATGCATAAATTCGTTCTCTGCAGTCCATGCATTGTTTATGGGCATTATTTCCTCGCCGTTGACTTGTGCTCAGTGGTGTTACAACTTACAATAAACGAGCAGTCATCGCATTTCGGATGCAACCCAATTTCCCCTGTCGTCAGCTGTTTCTGAGCCGAATTCAACACTTCTTTTGATCACCTAAGATGAAACACGAGTACCGATCCTTTTTCAAAAAGCTGCCGTCGGCAGTTTGTAGCAGATTGGAGCTCATTATAGATGTTAGGAGCCAACGAGTGCATTTGATCTCTGCAAAACACTCTGGACGATAAAATCGGAATTCTGGGTACGAACTAACGAACATTTTCTGTCCGATAAAAAAGGCTCCGAAGAAAAAAAAATGATTTAATGCAGTGGCACAAGAGCATGGTGCACAACTCACAGCACAAAACGCACGCATACCTACATGCTTTATAGTAAACATCCATGCATTTGTATGCATGCATTCACACGAATGCATAGATTATCCATATAGCACATTGCACGCACCCGGACCCAATTCCTCTACCATCTGCACCATTGACCGACACGCTGGTTGCCAAAACGGGACATGAGTAGCGCCAGCCCCTAGCCTGTTAACCTATAGGTATAGGTACTTTTTCTCAGACCTCCTCTCTTCCCCCTCTGCAGCGGAGACTGGAAGCGGACGCGCCTTTAGGTATATCACTGACGGCTTACTTGCGATTGGTCGGAACTTGTTAGGAGATGGAGGGCTAACCCTTAGCTCCGAGACTTCAGTTTCCAGGCTCCAGCCTGATCTCCCGACACTTCTCAGCTCATTTATAAATCGATAGAAGCAATGGGACTTGACAGAGTTGACACCATGTGCCTTCGTACCTACCGAAGTTTACCCCTATATAGGTAGGCAATCTGCACTGTGCACCGTCCGAAGAACCGTGATTTTGTAACGCTCTCAGTCCAATCAGTGTTATAACTTAAAATATATTTTGCAAATTGCACGCATGACCCATTTTTTTTCGTTTTTGCCACTTTTTTGCATTGTTTGTGATGGCACTGAAGACTGAAGACAAACTAGGCACTAAGGTCATTTATTTGAAGTCATCACATCACATTCACATATTTTCGCCGCTAGGACCCCCGATCAAATAAGGCGCAAATAAGTCGGAGGTTTCAGAATGCACTAACAAGCTCGAAATGAACAATTGATATTCAACACACCCGGCTGACGGCATAACTTTGGTTCTATTGTATAAGCATTATCAATGGTGTAAATAATTTGTAATACCCCGCAGGCGCGGATCCAGGGGGGGGGGGCGACGGGGGCGGCCGCCCCCCCCCCCCCGACATCCGAAAAAGGCGCCCATAGCCCGCGGCAGAGAGGGCGCCCCGAGCAAAACAGAGGCGACACAGCAAAGGTTGAGCAGAAATAGGGCGCCTCCAGCAGAAGTTGGGCTCACCAAGCAGGAGAGCGACGCCCAATTGCCCATTCCCAGCAGATCAGAGTCGCCCCAGAAGCAGATGGGCGCCCCCAGCAGAAGAGGGGCGTCTTATTACAAGAATAAAAAGATGCCTTCTGTTCAAGAGGGGCACTCCTGGCAGGAGAGGTGTCCCCCTGAAGAGGAGCGACGCCCCAGCAAAAGTAGAGAGGCGCCCGCATTCCAAGAAGAAGAGGGGCGCCCTAACCGCAGATAGGCGCCCCAACAAAGAAAAAGAGAAGCCCCATAATAAAAAAATGGGTTCCACTGGCAGAAAAGGGGCGCCCCCGGCAGCGGAGGGGGCCCAGCAGGAGCAAGGAGCCTCCAGCAGGAGACGGGCGCCCCAGCGAGGGGGGCGCCCCAGCAGAAGAGAGGAGCCCCCTGCAGGAGAGGGGCGCCCTCAGCAGAAGAGGGGCGCCCCAGCAGAAGAGAGGCGCCACAGCAAAAGTTGATCAGAGATGGGGAGCCTTCAGCAGAGGTTGGGCTCGCCAAGCAGGATAGGGGCGCCCCATTGACAATATCCGGCAGAAGACAGACGCCCCAGCAGCAGATGGGCGCCCCCGGTAGAAGAGGGGCGCCTCATTACAAGAAGAAAAGGAGTATATTCTGCACAAGAGGGGCGCCCCTGAGGCAGCGGAAGGGCAACCCCAGGAGAGGGGCTGTGCCCCAGTAAAAGGAGAGTGGTGCCCCGCTCCGAGCAGAAGAGGGGCGCCCAAGCAAAAAGAGGAGCCCCATAAGAAGAAAAGGGATGCCTCTGGCAGGAGAGAGACGTCCCCCGCAGTGGAAGGGCGCCCCCAGAAGAGGCGTCTCTAGCAAAAGATAAGTGCCCCTGCAGGAGAGGGGCACCCCAGCAAAAGTTGGGCAGAAATGGGGCGCCCCCAGCAGAATTAGGGGTCGCCGAACAGGAAAGGGCCGCCCCATTCACAGTAGAAAAAGGGACTCCCCAGCAGCAAAGGCGTGCCGTAACAGAAAAGGTGCACTCCCAGTAGAAGCGGGACGCATCAAGAAGAAGAGGGGCACTTCTAGCAAAAAAAATGGGCGTCCCAGATAAGTGGGCCGCCTACAGCAAATTGGTCGTTCTTAGAAGAAATGAGGCGACTTCAGCAAAGTGAGCCTCCCTATGACGGATTGGGCGATCCAAGCAGAGGTTGGGAGCAAATATCTTCAAAAGGGCGGCGCTGCGCGCAGCCGTCTTAAAGATATTTGCGAAAAACCTAGGGGGACGTGACAACGCACGGCGTGGGTTTTAAACTCTCGATTTTGACGACGGTTTGGCGCCCCCGGATTGCCAGGTCGCCCCTATTTCAACTTGCCGCCCCCCCCTCCCGAAAATTCCTGGATCCGCCCCTGATACCCCGGGGGAATCATTTAAAATAAAATGAGCAAATTGTATTTAGCTGCGGTTTGTTTTTAAAAGATCTTTCAAAACGATCCATAAATGACGCGAAAAAGACATTTGCTGCGCCCATAAGTGAAGGCCCGAAGGCCTGTGATTTTGTAAAGCTTATTGACGCTTGATTGACGCTGGTAACTGGTAAGTGTGTAATAATGTATTAAATTTGTCAATAGTCATCTTGCGTATTTAAGAAATATAATGGTGCTCTAGTAATTGCATCCTAGAAGTGCTTCTTAGTAGGATGCCTGATTTGCTACGCAAAAGTCAAGTCACTGCGTAGTTCAAGTTTTCTATTTCAATTTGAATTGTTCATTGCTTATGCCATCAGTAAGCTTAGCACCACTACCCAAAAACAGGTGATCTACATATCCAACCAGCGCTCGATTTCCTGCAGGCTTTGCACATTTTGATCGAAAGCCTCATTTACTTAGGAGACACTGTCTTGGAGGCTCACCGCTATTTCATTTTTGCCATTCTAGACTAACAGTTGGGTGGTGAGCTGGGCACTATCAGTCGGTGACACACCAGGGAAATAAGCTAAAATTAGAGCGCTCTATTTATTGCTCCCGCTACTTCACCGTCTCCCATAGGGTCCTGTGTTGAGCTGGTGTCGAGGCTCTAAAAATGACGCCGATTTTTGCACCCTTCTCACGAAAACCGCTCGGACCGCCTGGAAACTAATTGTTCCGCTCTAAAAATTTCATGATCGACGGGAAAATGAATGAGGAAAAGATTGGTCCTGAAATAATTCTGAACTCCCTGTAGAACATATCGAAATATGGCTGCAAACTAGGAGCATGTCAAAATCGACAAAACGATACAAATAAACTTACCGGGATTTTTTTTATTTTCCATGCATCTGTGTATGAAATCAGTCGGTTTTTCGGAAAGATAATCTTCTGTTTAATAAATAATTCCACAATTGCAATCGAGAAAAAAAAAACATTTCTGCTGTGACGGCAGTTTTGGCATTGTGCCAGTAGTGTGGCGTGCGCGGTGCTGCGTGGTCGTCGGGACGGAGTTGTGAGTATTTTCGGTGTTTTAAATGGTTGATGGCCATTTGAACCAGCTTTATATTATTTCCTACAAATTTTTGCATCAAATTATTGCTTTGAAAGACCATTGAAACCCCTTATCTCTTCATGAAACACGATCATATTTATCGTCGACGAAAATGGCGCGGGACCCCATATGCGTTCCGATCGAAATAAATCGTAAATTAAATAATATTCGATGATAAGTATCATATTCTAGTGACACATTTTCATAAAATAAGGCATAAACTTTGCAAGGAAGTCAACATTGGATGATTGGATTCTTATTTTGCTCACATATCCTTGTGTAGTCAAATGACTCAATTGTTAGATAAATGTAAGCATATGTTTTGGCTTGATGTTTGCTGTGAAACCACCCAGCCACTTGCTGGTTGAGTGGTTTTTGATAATAACCTGATAATCATTTCTCCTTTTCCTTAAAAGAAACTAAAATTCTTTTCAAAGTAATCCATTTTTAGGAAAGGCGGCTTGCTCATTGACATTTCATGTTCTTGTTTTGTTATTGCTGGCAGTATTTTGATACAATAATGCAATATGAATTTTTTGCAATAATAAAACCTAAGACAAACCTAGTTAATGCGTCAATCAAACACCCAACAGAAAGATTGTGAGTCCTTGTGACGTGAAGTAGAACATTCTATGAATGTGTTATATAGAATATGCCAAATTTTAAATTAATTATACTGATAGCTGAGCATGTGAATTATGCCACAATATAATTTCATATTCTGGTTTTGAAATAGCGGGCAGTATTTTACTTCAACAAATGTAATATACATGGAATACATGTTGTTATGTTATGTTAAAAGTTTAATAACAGCAAACAGAAGGGGCTGTTTCAGCAGATAATGTTTGTACCTTATGCATTACCTTTCTTTTCTGCAGGACCATGCTTCCGCTGGGTGGTCGACATTTGCCTCCTGAAGAAGTTGAGCAACATGAAGACCACCAGATGAGGTGTCTGCAGTTCATGTGGAACTCTGCAGACTACAAGTGTTATGCCAACCACAACCAAAGTGCTGTGATCATGGAGGCATGAACCTCATGACAACACTTCAGATTTGCAGTTGTACCAAAGTGTGATTCAAACCACCTGTGGCATCTCACTCAATGTGTGAACAGTGTGATCATTGTGCAGTGTTCAGCTGCAACTAAGACATTTATTAGTGACTTGTTTTGCAATTAGCCACCAAAAGCATTTTTGGGCTGGCTGCTGTAATTTGTTGTGCAATGCGCAATAGTGGTAGTGTTTTGTCACTTGTCAAGTTGTCAGTTGTGCATGTTGCATGTTTCTCTTCCCTCGGCCCTCATTATCAGTTAAGTGGTGAATTGGCATCACTCAGTCTCCCCAGATCTCCATTGACTGTCTGTCAACCACCTAACTTGAGATGGTATTTGCTAATAGTGTCAGAAAAGAAGTGATTGTAGACATTTTTAGGAATATGAGCTCCGTTTCATGCGTGTTGCGGTGGTCATTTTGTCACTTGTCCCATAGTGTAATAAATGGAAACTGTTGTTCCCTTTTCAAGGTACTCGCGGATGCAGAAAGCGTTGGGCCTAATTATTAAACGCACCCTTCTATCAGCGACGCACGAAATCGACAAATATCATCCTTTTTAGAGCAGGAGGAAACGAAAACTTGTGAACATAGCTGTACCTACAACAGTGCATAAGGAATTGGAATTCTGGGAGTTTTTGAAATTCGGAGAAACTCAAGTTGTCGACAGGTATGCCCCCTTGTACGTCAAAGACCGCCTAAAAAACAAACGTCTACAAATGAAGGCAGTATTCGTATGTTCGTTGTAATTGCAGCAGCCTAGCAACATGCATTGCGGTCCGATGGCGAATTACACTCGTGCTAAAAAAAAAACTATGCCGGTAACTGCCAACGTACTTAGGTCGTAGGTGAGGAGAGAAAGGGTTATGTCAAATGTCAACATCAAAGAAATGGCTTCATCTGAGCTGTGCCTATTGTACATAATTCAACCAATCTATGCATTTCGTTTCTTGCTAGCTACTCATGCTTTCACTCCTGCTTCAGAGTAATCATCCCATATTGTACGTCTTAAGATATTGATTTCTATGGCAGTTCGCAATTGCTAGCCACGTCTCACCTCAGTTTGGTGGCCCCGCATCGGCCCACTCGGCCGCTCTAAAATTGACTTACGGAGGAGGATGGTGGCTTTTATTTTAGCTTCTCCGCTGACTGCGGGGAGCGCCGTCGCCGAGGTAGGAGCAATAATTAGCTTAAGTTTGGGACTAATTTCCACGCTTAATTAACATTTTGATGTTATTTTAATTAATTCATGTTAATCTTTGACGCATTCTCTTTCTATTGATACCATCCACCGGCCTGAGAAGTACTGCCTTGCTGCGTAAGGGCCGATAAAAGATCACGCTTTTAGGGGTATCTCTTCAACATGGGGCAGGAGCAATAAATAGAGCACTCTAATTTTAGCTTATTTCCCTGGTATGTCACCAACTGCTATGGCTATTAAGCTATAGCTTCGAATTAACTAAGCAATGTTCTTCTCTGAACTCAAGTGTTGTTGAAGTTTGAACTTTGAACAGTGTGTAGCTCTCTGAATACTGGGTCAAAGCTAAGGCTGTGTAACCCTTTGGTAGTTGTAAAACAGGTGTCACACTTGTTTTTTGCAACCAAGGAGAGGTGCTATACCCAGAGATGCTTTGTTATCAAGCCAAGCCTAACCAAACCTGACCTAACCTTACCTACAACCTACAAGTTACACCCTAAAACCTACAGCTTAAACCTACTACCTACCGCCTACAACCTAACAACCTACAGCACCTCCCCTTGGTTGCAAAAAACAAGTGTGACGCCTGTTTTAGTACTCTACTAATACTACTACCTAACCCCTTTACATGGCTTGTAACATGTACCTTTGCTTAGTAACCTCAGCTTGCTCTTTTCTCTGTCTATTTTCCTTCTATTTCCACACACATTATCAAAACTGCCGTCGGGAGGAAAAAAGCCGTATCTGGGGCACTTTTTCGAATTGAAAATTGTTCTGGAGAGGCAAAAACGCGTTTTTTGTTATAAAATTCGTTAACTTTGCTCAATGTAAATAGAGTGAATAACCTTATGCTCATGTTATATGTTGCAAATTGATATAATTAAAACTAAATTGATATATTTCGATATTGCACCGTCATCAGAATAAGAATAGCAATTAAGCAGCGAAACAAAGCCGATTCAAACGGAATACAAAACGTGCATCTTTTGATATGGTTCTCGTTGGATAAGGTCGATCAGTACGTACAATCATTCAAGTGCGTGTCAACATTTGCACATTATACATGATAATGCTTTCAAATATACATAATGCCAAAAATACATATACGTTTACAATATACATACTTTACATAATAGTAGGATACATGGATGGATATATACTTTACATAATAGATGGATACATACATATGCACATACAATATACAATATGCATAATAGATACATACATAATATGTATATACAATATACATAATACACCTAATATATAGTTGTCTATTGTTACTCATACATACACAAACACATGACATATGACAATGCTAAACAATAGGTATTCTACAATATTGTATGCTACACTGGAGCTACCGGAGCCACTGGGGGTGTGTATGACGGGGGATTGAGGAGAGGCCATGATGAGGTTTGTGTGTTGAGGTGGGGTCGCTGGTTTCTGATTTCGATTGATTCGGCTATTTTGAGGTTTGGTACATCTTTACAAACTTTTTCGATCGACACGCTAAACGACTCGGGCCCTACTATGCTGGTTGGGTGGGTGTGTCCTAGCTACATGATCTCCGAGTGGAGTGTCCTTAGTTTGGTTTTTTGCGTCCCTCAAATGCTCGTGAAACCGCTCCCGGATGCGTCTTTTAGTTTCTCCTATGTAAATACTAGTTTTGTCTTGGCACATGTTACACACGATTTTGTACACAACGTTTTTGGTGTGGCAGCGACCAGGCAGCCCCGCCTCACAAGTGTGACATTTCCTTGTACCTGCCGGGCAGGGAGGACTTTGCATGGCTGACCTGGTGAGGTGTTGCGCTAGTGTTTTTCCACTGGTCCAAGCGACCCGCGCATTCAAACCCGAGCCCCTGAAGACTCCATCCACCCGTCGTGCTAGGGTTATTCACTCTATTTACATTATTAATCATGCTCAGAAATACCATAGCTTACCTCCAAGAACTTTGCTCAATAACGAAACAAAACATACTGCAGTGATCGGAAAGAAATTTTACATCCAATGAAAGTGGTTATAAAAGGGAAATTATTTTAACCTAAAAGCAAAAGGCGAAAAACTTTTTTGCTTCCAATTCAACCCCGAGTTTGCGGAATATTTCTTTCACGAAAAAAGCCGTATCGTGGAAGAAAGCCGCATCGTACGAGACACCTGAGCAATACTGTCATGAAAAAAGCCGTATGTCTGATACATTGGTTAACCGATCGGGAATAAAGCCGTATCGCCATTTTTGTTTAATCATATTGTCGTCAAAAAGCAGTATCATCTGTGCATTTGTATTGACAGTACATATTTGTCCATAAAAGAACTAAAGCAGTTCCGCTGCTGGTTCCGTTCCACTGCTTCAGCTCTCAAGTATGGATATTTAATTGAACGTTCGATACAAAAACAAACATGATACCCATTTTAAACTACAGCATCCATGCATAATCGCATTATTGTCGTAACTTTAGGCTCTTGGATTCTGATTGCGCAGAGTGCCATCAAAATACAGCTTGACCAACCGACCAGGGACGTAGCCAAGGGGGGGGGGGCACAGGGGCCATGCCCCCCTCTAAAGGCGAAAAATAAAATAAAACTTTAAAAAAATACCCACAGCTGCACCACACCCCAAGAGATAGTGGGCCAAATCCGAAGAGTTTTCCTTTTCTGGAGGGGCACGACACTAGGCAGCGACCTGTGGCCCCTCCCTGAGCAAAATCCTGGCTACGTGCCCGCAACCGACAAGGGGAATCACGAATGCTGTCTTTGCACGGTGCTTCAATTTTCGATTACACTGGACTCCAGAGTTAATTCTGAGCCACCGATATATTCGGAGAGATGAGTGTGCCGGTCTGCCGCTGCGCCGGAGCCACGGCGACAATGTCGAGAGAACCGAGATAGTGTAGTTTCCCATCGTCGATCTGCAGACCTCAAAGCACTTCAAGGGGGCAAGAGACGATGAGTGGGAATGTTGCTGATTAGCTGTACACAAGGTTCCCGGAAAAGGGACGCTGTTAAGTCACCTGGTGCGCAGCTATAAGCACGGAACCGCCCGGCTCCTGAACCAAAATAGAGGATTGTGTAAGAACTTCAGGAATTCCCGTAAAGAAACTGCATCTACAAAGCCTGTGCGAAACATCTAGGGCGACAGCACTGTGCCGCGGCTGAGGGTGTAAGCGAATGCCGCCTCATTGTCGGAGATCGCTAGACTGCTGAGAGCTCCACACGTCTGCGGGAACGCCCTTTAGAGGACGCACCCTCAAAAGGCCCCTGCATGTGCACTCGTATTCACAGGGCTCTGATTATAGCGCCTACTGCAACAGAGCAGAGGGCTATTCAGTACGCCTTGCTGCATCCTTCACCAGCCACAGCTGTGCTGGTAGGCTCTGGGTAGCTGCCCGTAGAATATGACAATGTTGGGCTTGTGTGGGTGCTACAAGGTAGCCTAAATATCCAATATGATTGAGCATCATGGGTATGAGGGAGCCGGAAAGAAGACGGTAAAGTCATTGACCAGGAATGGAAGTGACAGGGGATGACGTCCCAAAGATACATGGGCGTGGTCACAATTATCACAATGAATGTGACGAGGTTGGCAATAGCAATCGACCTTTCACGGTATTCAACTATGTATATCTTCACTATATCTTCAACGGTTTTACGACAAAGATTGTAGGTCGTCGTACTAAGCGTGCCGGCTACGAGCTGCATGTCTATGATGATTACCGTGTCGAACTTAATATGATGCTATTTTGGTTTTGGGGTGGGGTGGGGACAGGGAGGACAAATTAATCATGGGGGAGGCTAGATCGGGTATTTTTTATTGGAATTTTAAACGAAGCTGGGGAAAAGAACGGTCGGATTATACTGGCGCTCCCGGCTGGTTAGCACATCAAAATACTGAATGCCCGGCACCCTGCTGACACCACCGAGCTGGCAAAGTTCTGTTGGCTTCAAACTTCTCAAGTTCACTCCCTATTTTATTTCAATTAAAATTCCCCTATAAATGTTCACATGTTGCTGCGATCACGTAGCATGTTTGTGTAAATGTTCAACTGTTCCGTCCAGGATATGCCGAAGCCATGCTAAATGAGTAGATACGGCTTTCTTCCAAACTGCCTGGACCAACGATTCGGCTCATATTTCACAGGCCACCATCAAATAAAAGCCGTATCTACAAGATACGGCTTTCTTCCTGACTTATCAGTACCACATTCTTTGTTTGAAATTTTGCATAAATGCCGTATCTGCCGAATTTAAGGATACGGCTTTCTTCCTGCGTGTTTTGCTATCCCTGATGTAACAAATCCGTTTTTGAATTTTTATATTATATATAATATTTTCATTTTTGAGTGTACACACGTTTGAGCAGTACCATTATACGCGTCATGAAAAGAGCTTTCCAACGATATCAAAAACGAAAAATCGATAAAAATGCGACTTACGGCTTTTTTCCTCCCGACGGCAGAAAACATTTATAATATTATCTGCCTCACTAAATTTAGTGTCAGTATGAATGCCTGCATGTCTATCATAATCAATAGACAGTTTTGAATTGAACTCTGAGCCAGAGTAATAAACTGACAGAGTTAAACTTGTATGACTTTTGCCATCCAGCAGTCAGCACCCATATTCATAAATCATAATTCATATGAACACAAAACATGTATAATTTCCAGAACAGCAGTTTTAGTTTGAACTGTCCTAAACTATGGGAAATGGCTGCTCAGGCTGCTTCCATCAGCAATTTATTTCAATTTGCACAATAAGTTCGTAGTGAGTACCTTCTGGCTTCTGTACTCAAGCTTATTTCATTGCAGGCAAAATACAAACTATGGCTGCTAATCATGCATTATTCCAATGCGGAATTGCACTCATATTTCATTATTGCTAAGACCTTGGCTAAGACTAAGAGAGAACAGACAATTTAATTTTGAATCACCTATTTCACGTGACCTGGCATGATCTCCAGTCCACCCAGAAGAGATGGCGGGCCGTCGTCTGTTTCGCGCCCTCATCATGGGAGCCCCGGGCTCCGGAAAGGGCACCATCTCGGAGCGTATCGTCTCCGACTTTGGACTGAAGCACCTCTCCAGCGGAGATCTGCTGCGATCGCAGATCCTCCAGAAAACAGGTGGGGCGCCGGCGTGCGTGGAAAACAGAATATTTGGATCGCTGTTGGCTGGTGGTGCATTAGGAGGGTTGCTGTAGTAGTACTGTTGACAAGCATATAGTGGATAGCGTGACGTGTAATAGCATTTTGCTGGTCAGGAGGATTGTAACAGGTAGCGATAAAATTTGTTATCGGGAACCAGCGTGCGTTTTGTTGCATGCCTCACTCCCTTCTCAGTCTTGTGACTGTCTTCAGTGACACCTCACTCTGCATTCATTTCTCTTAGTATCTTTATGCCTCTGCGTCCCACCTTACTGTGTGTCCCCCATATGTTGTCAGACGTGGGCCTGCAGGCTCAGAAGTACATCGACGAGGGCGCCCTGGTGCCGGATGAGACGATGGTGGCCCTCATCTCCGCCGAGCTGAAGAAACTGGCTGAGCACAGCTGGCTGCTGGACGGTAAACACTGCCTAGTGCCTACTAAAGGTTCTGTCCTAACATGTCTGATACTAAAAAAAGTAGACCTACTTTTTAGCCATCGATCGGCCGCCGATTTCCAGCGCGATCTGGGTACCCAGCAAACTCGGAAAAAAAATCCAACTGATCATTTCGGTTAAACAGGTATTGCTGGAAGAAGAACGTTGTCGATACTGATTTTGCTTTTTGCCTACACGATTCGCGCGACGAAGACCCCTGACCAGTAGCGGCGGAACACCTTCGATTTAGGAGGAGGGGGGGGGGGGGGGGGGGGGCACCGCCGACTTTTGGTCCCATTCTTTCCATGCAACGCCCATAGGGCTAATGTTAAAATGTCAAAATCAAAGGGGGGCGCGGCGCCCCGGTGTCCTCCCCGTTCCGCCGCCTATACCCCTGGCAGACTGTGTTTGTTATACCCCGTAGCGCCGCTCGGTGCTCAGTGCTCCCGTATTTTTCTCGCTGATTCACGTATCGCTTGCCCTCCGCCAGGGTTCCCCCGTACCCGTCACCAGGCCGAGGCGCTGCACAAGGTACAGCCGCTCGACACCGTCATCAGCCTGAACGTGCCCTTCCAGGTCATCATTGACCGCATCAAGGACCGCTGGGTGCACCTGCCCAGTGGCAGGATCTACAACACCCTCTTCAACCCGCCCAAAAACCCGGTCAGTGGCGCGCGACTAGCTGATAACGACGATTAGTTTGTTGATATAGGGCTGCTCTCTTTGGCAGTAGTGATATGAAATGCAAATAGTTGCGTCGTGTGGTAGACGCGGTATTTATCAGATCTATGCTATGGTGTGGTTGCTGCTTTCATCTTCATCTTCATCTCCTTGTTATCAGGAGAAGATACACGATGTCCTGCAGGGTACATTTCTCGCCGATTTCATTAGCATGAATATGTACTCAGTCTTCTGCGTGTCTGACCCTCTTTTCCTGCTCCGTCCGCCGGCAGTTCACCGATGACGTCACGGGAGAGCGCCTGGTCCAGCGGGCCGACGACGCGCCGGACGCGGTCAGGAAGCGCCTGGAGGTGTACCAGGCGTCCGCCGGGCCGGTGATCGAGTTCTATCGCGAGCTCGGCGTGCTCGAGGAGTTCTCCGGCAGCGAGACCAACAAAATCTGGCCGCACGTCCGTCGCATGCTCCAGCAGCGCATCCAGTAAGTGGCACCGCGGTCAGAAGGGATGACGTAGATGGCGATGTAGTCTACTCAACTGCTTCCATTCCTGATCGGTAATTCCGAGTCGAAAATGCTTCAGGGAAGTGATTCAGATGTAGAGGCTTGTAGTGTATGGTTAGCCTACCTGTCGTTTGTTGAGTTAACAAGCGAGGGTTGGGTGTAGGTGGCGGTAGTACCGACAGTGTTGTGAACTAACTGATCGGTGATGGTTTGTTAGATTTGTGGATGGCCTGCAGAATCGGTGCCAGTTGCTGAGGGCAGGATTGGGGATCAGCTGTTCGTGGTGTGTGGTGTGAGAGATGGTTTGTTCGGTCGGCCGGCCCGCGGTTTACGTGGGCTGGCTCGACAGTATCGTAAATGATGTGATAACAGCACAAGTTGCAATATCGGGCTGAGCGAAAAAGCGTGCCATGCGGCAGGAACGATTAGCGTGACAACTTTGATAGTCGGCTCTTTTTTGTGATGTATTCATCTCGTCGTCAGTGGCTGCGCAGTCGCCATAGTTCAGTGGCACAATCGTCAATGTGGGGTCCAATATTTACATTTTCCCCAGCCGCGTTGTAGCCGTCTCTGGAGCTGCCAATTTCGCCGTAGTAACTGCTGAACGTGTGGCCTCCGTGTCCTGCTCGCTGTGCGCTGTCTTCCATGTGTAGAGGCGTTCGTCTCGCCAAGGACGAGGAATGTGTGATGTGATAAAAGCTTTGCTTTTGACTATCTTTAGCGGGCGGCGTTTAACGAGGTTGCGCGATCATGACGAATGAGTAAATTTACTGATGCGCAATCGCACAAACCCTCCGAAGTTCTTGCCTCTAAATGAGCGCTTTCAACCATCTTCAGTTGCATTTTTGTGTTGCATTCCACGCCTTCAGGCTACCTGCCCAAGGTGTTCTACAGTTACTGTTGAGTTTTACCACAAATAACAGTGTCGGTTTTCAATGTTCCACAAGTGAGTGACAAGTGAGTGATTGTGATTTACGCACACTGGTAAGTGTTGACCCCTAATATTCTGTAGGTTTACCATATGGAATCATGTTTTATAAACATGTATTGTTTAAATACGACTCGGAATTAACATGCGAACCAAAATAAACGCTCTCTCCACCGATGCCATTGTTTCTTCTCCATCCCTCCCCTGCCCACCCTCGAGGCCAGGTCACCGGCACCGACCTGAGTGAGCACTCCTGACTCCGTGTCCTGACCCCAGTGGCCTCCCCTGCCGGCCGTCCCTCCTTTGACTGCACTCCCTGACACACGGCACCGGCACAGTTAAAATGGAGCTGCAGCCACCCGCCACTGAGTCTCCCAAACGGCCGCCAGTCATCGCGGCCCGATTGTCCACCCCGCCGCCGCGCCGGTGGTCGGTGGCAGGCCCGTTTGATGACGATTCCCTACACAGTCCGCCGTCGTCCGGCGTCGCAGCGGCTCGCTCCGCCGTCCCGGCCCGCCGCGGCGGCCACCGGCGGTGTCTCAGCTGCTGCGCACCAGCTGCTCGAGCTGCCGCGCGCACGCCGCCACCTTCTCCGGCTCGGGGACGTTTTTCAGCCTCTCCAGCACCGACTCCACCTCCAGACTCCGGGCGAGCGCCGTCATGTCCCTGGCGGCCGCCGCCAGCGTCCCGAACCCGACCAGCGCTCGGAACTGCGCCTCGCCGTCGGTCAGCTGCTGGAGCAGCACACCCAGTGCCGAGAGCGTCTGCGCGCGCGCCTCCAGGTCCCCGGCGCGTGACAGGCTGACGGCCACGTTGAGCAGGAGAGTGGCCAGCGCCACCTCCACGGCGCGGCTGGCGGCCGGGAACAGCGCCAGCGCGGCGGCCGAGACGTCCTCGCGCGCCGCCATCACGGCCCGCTCGCCGCTGGCGTGCCGGAAGAGGTTACAGGTGGCGCGCAGAGCTAGCATCTGGTTGGCGGGGGGCGAGTCGGGCTGCGCGAACCGCTGCAGAGCCGCCAGCAGCGCGGGCCGCCGCTCCTCGGCGCAGAAGTACTGGCAGGTCTCCGGGTTCCGGACGGCCAGTCGCAGCAGGTCGATCGCCGGGAACGCCAGCTCTGACGGAGGAGAGGAGAGAGGTCAGTGAACATGACATTCATCCCATGACACCACTCGCCATCAGCTATATAAAATGGGCACGGGTCTGACAGGTTCAATAGCAAACAGGCGATTGAGTAGAGTGCATGTCAGCAAAACATCAGATATCAAATGGCTCCACAGACCGGCCTGGCACGCTACTTCCCTGTCTTATACCACACCAGTATCACTTGCCTAGATTTAACACAATCGTTTGCCTCGGGCCACACACACCCCTGTCCTCTAGTCTCTAGCCACCCGCAGTACGCAGCGCGCCGAGCTAACCTTTGGGCCAGTCCAGCAGCCGGAGCAGCATGGCCAGGTGATGGGGGGCCGGCGACGCCGTCGGCTCGGCCAGCTTGGTCAGCTCCTGCAGCACCGTCTCCTCCAGCCGGTGGCACCCGTCGCCGGTGCGCTGGTTGAACTCACGCAGCTTGGCTGGGGGTGGGGAAGGGAAATGCGTAAGTGGAAAAGCCAAAGAGAGTTTTGATAGTCGAATAATACAATGTGTACAAGGTAAACAATCCAGTAATTAAGTGACTTTGTTTGAAGATCATCTATACCCATCATTCAAAAGCATGCACTCTGAAAATCGTGGACCAGTACTATTGCTATGCCAGTTGGTAGCTCGCAACCGCAAAACGTATGTTAGTCAGGATATGAAGAAACAAGCTTTCCAGCTTGTGCACGACCAAACCCAAACTGCCCTAAACATACTCTGGTAGATACTCACTGGCCATTCCCTCCACGTTTCCTTTGTCGAAGTACACAAAGTCGTTCTGCGGGAAGTATCGTGACGCGGGTGGGGCGGCGGCGGGGGCGGGGGTGGTGTCCATAGCGGTTCCGGGCGGTACGTAGCGGCCACTGCCAGTGAAGGGATCTGCGCCGCCGGCCCCCACGTGGTGTTCCCCGGCCGCGGGGACGTACCGACCCGCTCCTGCGGAGATGAGAGCACACCTCCGGTTAGAGAAGGGCGTGTGTGCCAAACATTTAAGATTTAATCATGGGTGGTCATTGCTGAAGAACAAGGACGATGTTTGGCTACCTATGAGCGCCATCTGCAATTGAACTGGAAACCTTCCAGTCCATGAAGCCGGTAGGGTTAACGGATGAACAACACAATAACGACTGCTTGGCATAAAGCAATCCAATACTTAATATAGGTAGATCTCCTCAGCTAGAAAACATCGACGATGGAGGACATTGAAAACTTGCAGAAAAAATCGACACTCGAAAGCAAACGCGCCTTGGTGACAAACAAAGCTGTCCATTCAAGTTGCTCATCAACGCCCATCGTATCCTAATCTACCCACTCACCAGTGAAGGGATCATAGTACTCTCCCGACGGCTGAGGCGGCTTGGCGGCCGCCCCGGCGCCGCCGCTGTTCTTGATGATGAAGTTGGCCACCGTATCGAGGAACTGCTGGCTCAGCTCGTGTTTGTGGATGAAGCGCTGCGCCGCCTGCCACGGGTCCTCGGACGTGTTGTAGGGCAGCTTCAGCGGCGGCGCGCCCTCCTGGATGTCCACCGTGAACACGTAGTCGTACTCCTGGTTGGAGGGACGGGAGGGAGTCAGTGGCGGACAGGTAGGGTGGATATGACAGCCCTCCGTAATACAGCCTAAGATATGAGACAGTTCAGTAAAACATTCGTGCTAGGGGAGACAAACTAGGAAAGACGTTCACTTTTCATTAAAAAAAAAAAACTGATCACATGGCAGCGGCCCTCCGAAACAATTTTTGTGCTACATCTCGATGATGCACCACATCCTAGGAAATCACAGACCCACCATATTGAGCCACACTCCGGAACAGAGGATCCTTGCCCCCTCCGACATCTCTCCATCTTCACTCACCTTCCCATCGTGAAGCACCTTCCCTGAGGTCTCAGTGGAGCCGCCAGAGGCGCCCACCACGTCTCCGACCTTTTTCCAGAGCTGCTCGGAGGCCGACCACGAGTGGCAGGTGACGTTCGTACCGTCCCGTACCATCACAGTCTGACCATCCCGGCGGCCGGGCGCCAGCAGCACCTCCTTGCCGGGGAGGTCAGCCACCTGTAGGAGGGGCGGGTCAGGTCAGCTGGTCAACCATCTATAAAAGGAGGCGGTCCGGTCAGGTCATGTACCTACAGAAGAGATAGGCTAGGTCAGACATGAAGACGATGAATGCTAATTGCGAGCCAGCCCAGTGATCAATGCTGAGTCGTGAGGTGGGTAGCGGGAATCTGAATTCCAAGAGGGAATAAAATCATATGTGATGTTTGACTTGGAGTAACGTGCCAGAGCTTCTGTAGTAAACGCGGTAGAATTGGTTACACGAATTAATTTGATCTATTCGACTGCACACCGTCCAAACGTCTGTACCTTGTATCCTCCGAGCTCTGCCTTGCTGAGCTGAGTGCCGGCAACCTCCTGTTCGTACACCTCCTGTATATCGGGCGGCGCCTGCCGCTCCGGGGCGGCGCTGAACACACGGCACACGCCGTCACTGTGGCAGAGAGGGATAATAGTCACTGGAGTGAAACAGACCGCTGAACACCCGGCACACGCCGTCACTGTGGCAGAGAGGGACCATGGTCACTGGAGTGTACAGACCGCTAAACACCCGGCACACGCCGTCACTGAGGCAGAGAGGGATAAGAGTCACTGGAGTGAAACAGATCGCTTAACACCCGGCACACGCCGTCACTGCGGTAAGAAGGGGTCACTTCAGGGAACACAGGACAGGTAACACCAGACACACGGCGTCATTGCGGAAAAGAGTCAGAGTGGGTCATACAAAACAGCGTGCCGCTAAACGGGTGTCTGGGGCGCATAGCGACGCGAGACTGCCAGCTCTCTGGCCGTCTGCCAGTCTGATCACGCGTGACGGCGTCCTAACACCGAACATAAAACCCATGTGTACAATAATGCACAACTCACTCCTCCTCTACCGTCTCTGCCACCAAGGTCATCTTCGGACCACGGCTCCAACGAGGGCGGCCGAAATAGCCGTTTCACAATTTATGGCAGCGACAACAGCATCAAGGTAGACCTGGCACGTACCTAGGTAGGTACCACAACAAAGATTAGCCGACTGACCTGGTTCCGGCGGCGATGTCTCCGTTCTGCAGACAGGCCACGGCCCACACCGACTGGGCCGGCAGGTTGATGGTCTGGTCGAGCTGGCCGCCGCGCCACACTCGCACCGTCCGGTCCTCGCCGGCAGACACGAGATCCACGCCGTTCGGTAGGACAGCCACGCTGTGGGGTGAGAGAGGGATGGTTACTGGACCGTACACACAGAAAAGAGGTCCACGCCGTTCGGCAGGACAGCCACGCTGCGGGAGAGGGAGGGGAAGGGGGTTACATGACCGAGCACACAGACACGAGGTTCACGCCATTCCGCAGTACAGCCACACTGGGGAGAAGGAGGGAGCGAGGGTTGCTGAACAGACACCAGGTCCACGCCGTTGGGCAGAACGGCGACGCTGCGGACGGAAGAGGGAGGAGTGAGGACTAAAATAAACGTTCGAAAACTCCGAAAGGGAGCTTGTAACTGGACGTACGTCTTTTTCCACACACTCTCAATCAAACCGGTCCCTCAGAGACACCAGCTGTGGAACGGAAACTCCTCAAGGATGCGAATGTACGCCGAGCAGAGTTACATAAAATATTCAGCGACAAAACGAAATCAGCATCCCTGCAATCAGCAGAAGCATTGCATTACAGTACATTACCACCGAACAAAACTAACAGCTTGGCAAATTGGTCGTACTGTCTCACCTGTACACAAAGTTGGAGTGCCCGTACAGAGTCTGTACACAGGTGCCATTGATATTCCACCGTCGTATTGTCGCGTCGTTACCGCAGGAGAGAAACTCTTCCTCGGAGAGGAGCGCCAGGCCACGGACACAGTCTTCGTGACCTAAGGACGGAACAGATGGCCGCTTAAATACCCCACTAGCTGGCGAGACTGACCAATGATGCCAGCCGTAACACGAACATTGTAACACCATTAGATGAGCGGCGTAACTCATTGTGCAATATGCATCGTGATCTGATTGTGAATGAACCGGAGAAACATGCAATCGGGAAACGTTCTGAATAACTCGTTTCTTCGTCTTTGTCAAAACTCAACAATTCTGATATTTTCACGCCTACAGCTATTTCCATTCTCACCCACCTGTGAATTTCTGTATGACCTTCCCGGTCTTCCACGCCAGTATGGTCTTGTCTGCCGATCCGGTGATGACCAGACCCGACCCGGGCAGGATGGCCACCGCCCAGACGGCGGCGGCGTGGCCGCTCAGGGTCAGCACGCACTTCTGGCCGAGCCACACGCGCGCGCTGCAGTCCCACGAGCCGCTAACAATCGTACCGAACTTTCCCGCCGCCAGCGCCGCCACTGCACGTAAAGGGACAAGGAGGGTCAAATGGCGCAGAAATATTCAATAGATGATTATCATACCAAACGAACGGTGTCGCCCAAATGCCCAGGATATGAGAAACAGCGATTGAGATAAAACGCCTCAACAAAATTACGAACGTAAGAACCAGGATCGCAATTAACAAGAGGAACATCTTCATCACCAAAAACGGTTATCAATTATCATCCGACGATAAAATAAAAGCATAGGCCCAAGAATCAATGCCCTCCAATTCAAACCACGACAGCAAAGTTCCCCCTTCTCGTCACCCCCGCGTCCGCGGCTCACCGGTGCCCGTGTGACCGGTCAGCTTGAAGAGCGGCTCGCTACTCTTGTGAGAGTAGACGTGGATGTTGCCGTCGTTGCTGCCCGTGAGGATCAGTCCGTCGGGAAACTCGTCACCAGGCGGCATCACACACGTGGACACCACGTAGCGCGTGTGGCCACGCAGCGTCTGCGTGGTCGTGAAGCCGACCCCGTCGCTGAAGAAGCAGCGGTAGACGAGGTCAGACGCGAGTCAAACGCAGACTGATTGGCTGAGGTGGACTGTAGGACGGCCTGTCTGGCCTGAGCGTGACTTTGATGAATGAAAAGTGATTAAAGGTAATGTGAAACTCACTAGGATGGGTGTACTGCTGACTGACCTGTCCGGTGTCCAAATGCGCGCCGTCTCATCTCTGGAGCAGGTGATGATGCTGCCTTGAGGACAGATGCCAGCTGCCACCGCTCGTACGTCGGAGGCATGCCCGACCAACGCCGCACGAAACTTGTACATGACTCAACGTCTGCAGGAAAACCTGCAATGTGCAAATGGAGGGGAAAGCTGATTCTTCTTTCTCTTTTCTGTTCTTCCACAGTCTTGTACCACACACAAGACACATTTGTCAATAACAATCAATAATGAACATTGCATATTCACCATGATGAGCACCTCACTCACTGGCCTGGCTGAGCCAGGACAGACCACTGCCCTCACTTGCACTGCCTCCCATCTCAGCGTGCACAATGCCTGACTCAGGATAGGATAGGCTTGAGGCATTGGAAGATGATAAGTGTTGATTGATACAGAGTGATGGATATTATAGATATGATATGATTATGAAGAACAATATCATGCCGTATAGATTCTATGAATGATGTTGATGTTTCATTGTTCCAGGGTAGATATTACACTCAGTACAGACTATAGCCTTGGTACAGACTACTGACTAGTTTATTTCCATGTTAACATCTCCCTGGTTGATGGTATGACAAATGACAAAGAAGGTCAGATATTTATTTCTGTTCCATAACCTGCTGCAAATCTGTGCAACATCAAAACCAAATGTTGGTGAATGGTGCTGATTAATCACCTGAGAATTTCCCAGGTGCAATAGGAAGGCAAATCCTAATTCCATAAAAACTATACACTGTAGAGTGCAGTCTGCAAAAAGTAATCTTTCTCTGCACCATGAACAGCTCAAACTCCATCACATTCACAGTCCACAAATCTGCCACCTAATTGCTAAATATCAGACCCAGGGCTGTCTCAACCCTGTCTCTGTAACCTGTTGGGGGGGGGGGGGGACCTAGTGGCCAGTGGCATTACAGCATTGTGGCATGCTGATTGGGCAGTGGTCCGATATTACCTCATGGCTCATACCTTCCAAGTTATTAAAATTCAAATTGGGTAAAAATGTAATTTGGCTCCCAGGTTCTCTTGCTTTGGGCTTTCATACTTTTTAATGGGATTTCATTACCATTATGGATATTTGACTTGACTACCTACCTACCTATCGTACCCCTACTCCATATTGAGGGTCTTGCCAAAGGTATATGACACAACAGCCTTTGGCAAGCAAACGGGATGAGTACGCATGGGGTAAAGGCCTTGGGGTAAAGCACTTCAACCAAAATCAAACCAGTCACCCAGTGGCTGCTGAGAGGCGAGAGCAGCCCCAAACCAACAAATCTACGAAAGCTATCCACACCAAAAGGCACTGAACCTGGTCTGATACACCACAAGACTTGCTGGCATAGGAACAAGTAATTAACAATAAAAGGGCTTCAGGAACTTACCTTTAAGAAACTTACAGCTTCAGTCTTCAGCAATGTTGATAGTTGATAGTTGATAGATAGAGGTGATAGTTGAGGAGATAGAGGATTGGCAATCAAGACACGTAGAGTAAAATCAGTTGCTCTTCAACTTGCTGTAAATATTGCTTTGATGCATGCTGCATGAAGTGCATGAGTCTGCACGTCACACAAGGTCAAACAAGTGACCCTGCAAAGCTGTCTCTGGGTCTTCATCAGCTTCTGCAAAGCTTCTGTGCCTGTTCAGGGAGTACTTGCTCTGCCGCTGAGCACTGGGTCCTGTCTGTCCCTCTCTCGTGGTCCTGTCTGCACCTTGCATGCCTGCACAGCCTGCATTACTCACAAAATGCCACTAAACAGAACACCACCAAGGTCCCGCCCAAATGGTAAAACTCCAACAAACCAGAATCCGTCCCCGGATCATGTGAGTACGGTGGCTAATACAATTGGCCTCCTACCCCTTGATGTTGGCACCAGTGTTTCTCCTACGGTTGTACGGGCTAACCATGGGGGCAATCTCAACCCCTCCATCTGTCCAGGCGGACCAGGCAACTTGACGTGCCACCTGGAAGTGAAAGACTCCCAGCAAGGGGTCCAATGCGATCTTTGTGGAAACTGGTTTCATGCATTTTGCCAAGATATAGCCAAAGCCGCCTACAATGCACTGAAAAGATATGATGTACTGTCATTTATCTGTGACTCATGCCGAAAACTTCCAAATCTCGGCAAACTTCAGCCCAGGTCTTGCATGAGTGAGTCAGCTATGCAAACAGAGAATTGTCAGGACCAACTCCAGCCAGCAAACAATGACCTTCTAACTGAACTAATTAAGAAGGTGGACAACCTTGAACTGGCGGTGAAAAATCATTTGACAGCAGGCACTGCTGCAGATCAAGGAAGCCTGCCCCCATCTGAGAAGCAAACACTCTCTGCAAGAGATGGCCCAACATATGCAGAGAAACTAAGGGGGCCCCACTTGCAACCTCACCCCCCACAAACACATAGTAGCTACCCTTCCCAGGGTGCACCTCAGATGATTCAGCAAGCAACAGATAACTACCGTAGAGTCGTTCGTGAAGAGCTTCGAGAACTAGAAGAACGCAAGAAACGTCAAAACTCTCTGGTCATTAGGGGCCTCAGGGCTAAGACTGCAGCTGAGGCAGCCGCCAAGTTTAGCGAAATATCAGAGCTTCTGATAGGTGAGAAAGTTGTGCTTTCTGAGGCATGTCAAATCAAGAATGATGCAGATCTATACCGGGGAAACGTCCACAACGTCAGACAAAGAAATCTGTTACTTGAACACGCACGAGAACTCAAGTACACCTCTTACTCACATGTATTCATCCGAAAAGATCTGACCTATACCCAGCGTCAAGAGCTTCAACAAAGGCTGGCAGCTCGGCCACGGCAGAGTGAGTGGCACCAGACAGCACCCCGCCAAGCCCAACATCCAACAGTTGGTGGTACAACAACAGTGTCAAACATGCCCAACGCTCAACACCAACCAGATACTGAGCCATCAGAGACACCTGGTGAGCATTCAAGTACAGAAGAAACTGTTCCAAAACAGCTCGAAACAGGCCCCCCTCCCCGTCCACCAAGGGACCAAGGGATCACGGCCACTGAAGCTCCAGCCTGTCAAGCGGCTCCCACTCAGCCAGACCCCCCTCGAAGTAACAGCCCACCCAGGAACTCGGGAAACTGAGATGGCATGGCCAAACTAGCCACACTCAAGTTTTAAACTTTGCACATTGTAATGTAAATGGCCTGTGCACCAAGTTAAACGTTCTTCAACACATCCTCAATATGCATGACACCACTGACATACTGCTAATATCAGAAACTCACCTAACTCCAGACGTTGGAGATGCTGTTGTAAGAATACCTGGTTATTCACTTCTGCGCAATGATAGTGGGGGCTCAAGTATACATGGTGTTTGCGCATACATCTCTGAAAGACTTCAAGTTGAGGATGTTGATTCATCTTACCCCAATGTCATCATATTTCATCTGTCCGCCCTGGAATTGCATGTGGTTGCAGTATACAGGCCACCCTCGAACTCACCGGAACAGAATGACATGCTAATGGCATTCCTGCGTCAAATATGTACTGGCAAAGAACTCATTCTCATTGGAGATTTGAATCTACCGACCATCACTTGGTCACTTGATTCTATGAAGCCCATCTCTTCATCAGACTCGAAGTTTTTGGACTTGTTTGACACACTTGGACTCACCCAGTGGATCCATGAGGCAACATTTCCACGATCAGGGAACATACTGGACTTGATTTTGACAACAGAATCAGACAGGATAAATGAAGTAGAGGTGAGGCCCCCACCACCTGGCTGTGACCACTGCAGTATCCACTGTCAGTACACATTCGACAAAGAAATTTGCTCATCATCACACGCACCTGGTCACATACTCTGGCACAAAGGACAATACAATAATATCAACAACGTCCTCAGCGAGGTGGATTGGGATGTTGAACTTGCGCACCTGAACGCAGAAGAGGCCTTCAACAGGCTCCTTCAAGTCCTACAGCCACTGATACGCCAATATATCCCCATTTCTAATCGCAACAAACCAAAGAGCAAAGTCCCCTGGAAGACAAATCCTCCGACATCTCTCAAGACGAGACGTACCAGGGCATGGCAACAATACAAGCGTGCTAGATCTCTACATGGTCGTAAATCGCACATCACTCAAGATCTCCTCTCTTCATCTATGCGAATCAATAAGGAGCTTCACCTCTTCACTTTCTACTCGCAAGTGGAATATGAAAAGTCGCTACTTCTGAAGATGAAGGAGAACCCAAAGCTACTACATGCTCACCTCCGCAGCAAGAAGAAGTTCCGCTCCTCAGTAGGACCAATTCGACTTCCTGACAGCACCACAACTGACAGTCCAATTGAGATGGCAGAATGTTTTGCCGAAGCTTTCGCCAGTGTGTATCGACCTGAAGTGCCGTCACACCCAGCACCTCACCAACAGTGTGATGGAGCACTTGAATCCGTCGATTTCGACTCTGCAGAGGTGAAGAAGGTGCTGATGGATCTCGACGTGAATTCTGCTATGGGCCCAGACGGTCTTCATCCCCGTTTTCTGAAAGAGTGTGCAGCTCACCTGGCTCGCCCTCTATCCAGGATATTTCATCTCTCACTGGAAGAAGGATCACTCCCCTCACTCTGGAAGCTATCCATCGTGGTACCAATCTTCAAGAAGGGGTCTCACGTCGATCCTTTGAACTACCGGCCGATCTGTTTGCCATCAGTCCCCGCAAAATGCCTGGAAAGACTGATCTCTAATGGTTTGAACATCTTCCTCAATGAAAACAACATCTTCATCGATCACCAATTTGGTTTTCGACCAGGGATGTCTACGGAGGACCAGCTTCTGTCCACTTACGAGTATATATCAAGTGAGATCGACAAAGGGAAAATAGTTGATCTTATCCTCTTCGACTTTGCAAAAGCATTCGACGTTGTCTGTCACCATATTCTGCTAGACAAGCTTGGGCACATAGGCATCGGGGGAGACCTTCTAAGGTGGCTCAAAGAATTTCTATGTGACAGATCGATGCAAGTGGTCGTCAAAGATGCGTACAGCGCACCAAGATACGTCAAAAGTGGTGTACCCCAAGGGTCAGTCCTCGGCCCAGTTCTTTTTCTAATATATATTAACCACATCGCGACAAACCTTAAATGTCACTACAAGATATTCGCAGACGATCTCAAAATATACACATGCATTGATAGTTCGAACATCGGCCGTGACACTGCAAGTCTGCAATCTGATATCAACCTTCTCCACGCAACCGCCAAGTCATGGGGATTACACATGAATTCAAAGAAGTGTGTCACTCTTCGTTTCAAGAGACGCTCACACATCTTGGATAGACCCAGCTATACCCTCGATGGACGTCAACTTCCCGATTCAGTCGCCCAGGTTGATCTTGGAATACTCGTTGACGACCAACTGAAGTTCCATGAACACAGCAGAACAGTGACAAGGAAAGCCGGCGGCGTAGCCCACAACCTCCTGAAAGGCACAGTATGTAGAGAACCTGAATTTATGATACACATACTTAAAACGCACATCAGGCCTATTCTGGAATATGCGTCGCCTGTCTGGAACACTGGATATGTCCAGGACAGGAAAAGGCTGGAATCAGTGCAAAGGCTATGGACCCGCCAGATAAAGGGACTTGAAGGCAAAGAGTATGGGGACAGGCTACGAACGCTCGACCTTTACTCCATAAAGGGACGACTACTGAGGGCTGACCTGATCAAATGCTGGAAAATCTTCAACGGAAACTGTCCAATACAACCTGCAGATCTATGGGATATCTCCCGTGACACTCGTACAAGAGGTCATCCGTTCAAAATCCGAGTGAGCCGCAGTCAAGTTGACGCCAGAGCCCGCTTCTTCTCCCAGCGTGTCGTCCAAGACTGGAACTCCCTGCCGACCTGGGTGGTCACATCCAAGACACTGAAGGAGTTCAAGTCTGCCTTGGAAACCTGTCTCGGAAGTCGACTATTTGATTATCTCCAGTAGCTGAAAAAGAAACACACCCAATCAATCCTGCCTGTCCCTGGTAGGCGCCCCCTCTTATCAAGCAAGAGTGGGGTTATACGCGCCAGGGACTCCCATCCCCGCCCTTGTTCCTAATTCCCTCCCCAAATCCTCACTATCTTGTCTATCCATTCTGATTCATCTCATTCTCCATATGTTACTCACTTCATCGCACATCTTAGTCAACACTTCTTTTGTTGTTGCAAATTGCACAAAGACTACCTCCATCAGCAACAACTACACCCAAGCAGACGTACCATTCCAACCCTTAACAATTGCACAGTCCAGTTCTGAATGTCCTGCTTATCTATTGTCCGGGTTGGCACGTCTCTCTTCGACACGGTTTCCTGTCTAATAACCCTACCACCATCTGGGCAATGAGCAAGGAAACCTAACAGGTGAGTTCAACAGGTGAGTTCAAACAAATAAAGGAACGCAACCGCCGGCGGCCGGCGACGAATGTTTTTGTTGTCGCCACAAATGTATTTTCCGTTCGTAATTTTGCGTCACATTTGAACTAAATGAGCAGGAATGTTCACTGCACTGACGTAAGATTCTAAATTAACCTAGTTGATTGGCGACGAAGCGTGATAATGCTGTTAGCGGATCAGAAGAAGGAGATACCAAGGATAATGAACAGAGAAAAGCGAGTTTGCCGTTTGAAGGAGCTACATACGTTTTTTCGGACGCCGGAGGGCATATTAGTCACGTGACATTTGGAACTTCTCCCCCTAACGTGGGCCTTCTACATACGAAACGTCACGTGTGAATTTCACGAACCTTGATCAAATCGCCCCAGGCGCCCTGTTTTCACCGTCGTCCGTTTTTTCTCTGCTGACCTCTGATCCATATTATTGAATTTTCTGAGTTTATCGTGTAGGGAGCTACTGAATATTAAATATTAATGTCAGATCCCGAAGAAATGCTTTCAGGTGAGTGGTGACCATAGGGATCGAAGTTCTTTGTCAATGCCGGGATGAGAAGTCAAAGGTATAGGTACCTAGGTGGGTAGGCAATAGGGTATTAGTAAGTCTGGCGTCCCACGAAGATGCCAGATGGCCACGGTTCAGAAATTCCCTAGATATCTAGAGATATTCTTCGGAACGCTGTGTACGCTAAAGTTACCGACCGATTTGCAAAGTAAAGATCTCAAACGATTCCCCGATTCACGGACTACCTGCACCGAAGTTCGTGACCTCAAAGGTCATGACCTTCAAGGTCAACATCAAGGTCAAACGGCGGAAACCGCTCTGCACGCTTAAGTTAGCGACCGATTTCCGAAGTAAAGGTCTCAAACGATTCCCCGATTCACGGACTACCTTCACTGAGGTTCGTGACCTCCAAGGTCATGACCTTCCAGGTCAACATCAAGGTCAAACGACGGAATCCTCCTCGGAACGCTGTGTACGCTAAAGTTAGCGACCGATTTCCAAAGTAAAGGTCTCAAACGATTCCCCGATTCACGGACTACCTTCACTGAGGTTCGTGACCTCGAAGGTCATGACCTTCGAGGTCAACATCAAGGTCAAACGACGGAAACCTCCTCGGAGCGCTGTGTACGCTAAAGTTAGCGACCGATTTCCAAAGTAAAGGTCTCAAACGATTCCCCGATTCACGGACTACCTTCACTGAGGTTCGTGACCTCCAAGGTCATGCCCTTCGAGGTCAACATCAAGGTCAAACAACGGAAACCTCCTCGGAACGCTTTGTACGCTAAAGTTAGCGACCGATTTCCAAAGTAAAGGTCTCAAACGATCTCCCGATTCACGGACTACCTTCACCGAAGTTCGTGACCTCAAAGGTCATGATCTTCCAGGTCAACATCAAGGTCAAACGACGGAAACCGCTCTGCACACTTAAGTTAGCGACTGATTTCCAAAGTAAAGGTCTCAAACGATATCCCGATTCACGGACTACCTTCACTGAGGTTCGTGACCTTAAAGGTCATGACCTTCGAGGTCAACATCAAGGTCAAACGACGGAAACCGCTCTGCACGCCAAAGTTAGCGACCGATTTCCAAAGTAAATGTCTCAAACGATTCCCCGATTCACGGACTACCTTCACCGAGGTGTTCACCTGGAAGGTCATTACCTTGGAGGTCACAAGCCTCAGTGAAGGTAGTCCATGAATCTAGGAATCGTTTGAGACCTTTACTTCGGAAATCGGTCGCTAACTTTGGCGTGCAGAGCGGTTTCCGTCGTTTGACCTTGATATTGACCTCGAAGGTCATGACCTTTGAGGTCACGACCCTCAGTGAAGGTAGTCCGTGAATCGGGGAATCGTTTGAGACCTTTACTTTGGAAATCGGTCGCTAACTTAAGCGTGCAGAGCGGTTTCCGCCGTTTGACCTTGATGTTGACCTCGAAGGTCATGACCTTCGAGGTCACGAACCTCGGTGAAGGTAGTCCGTGAATCTGGGAATCGTTTGAGAACTTTACTTTGGAAATTGGTCGGTAATTTAGCGTGCAGAGCGGTTTCCGTCGTTCGACCTTGATGTTGACCTCGAAGGTCATGACCTTGGAGGTCACGAACCTCAGTGAAGGTAGTCCGTGAATCGGGGAATCGTTTGAGACCTTTACTTTGAAAATCGGTCGCTAACTTTAGCGTACACAGCATTCAGAGGAGGTTTCCGTCGTTTGACCTTGATGTTGACCTCGAAGGTCATGACCTTGGAGGTCACGAACCTCAGTGAAGGTATTCCGTGAATCTGGGAATCGTTTGAGACCTTTACTTTGGAAATCGGTCGCTTACTTTGGCGTGCAGAGCGGTTTCCGTCGTTTGACCTTGATGTTGACCTTGAAGGTCATGACCTTGGAGGTCTCGAACCTCGGTGAAGGTAGTCCGTGAATCGGGGAATCGTTTGAGACCTTTACTTTGGAAATCGGTCGCTAACTTTAGCGTACACAGCGTTCCGAGGAGGTTTCCGTCGTTTGACCTTGATGTTGACCTGGAAGGTCATGACCTTGGAGGTCACGAACCTCAGTGAAGGTAGTCCGTGAATCGGGGAATCGTTTGAGACCTTTACTTCGGAAATCGGTCGCTAACTTAAGCGTGCAGAGCGGTTTCCGCCGTTTGACCTTGATGTTGACCTTGAAGGTCATGACCTTTGAGGTCACGAACTTCGGTGCAGGTAGTCCGTGAATCGGGGAATCGTTTGAGATCTTTACTTTGCAAATCGGTCGGTAACTTTAGCGTACACAGCGTTCCGAAGAATATCTCTAGATATCTAGGGAATTTCTGAACCGTGGCCATCTGGCATCTTCGTGGGACGCCAGACTTACTAATACCGGCATGCCAGCACGGCAGATAATGTCGTTCGTCTAATCTCTGACATTCAAGTTAACTGGGAACGTCGCCAACCAACAGTTGCTGTTTTCCTGGACCTAGTTTCTGCCTTTAATAAAGTACACAGCTCGACGGTTCTGAACAAAGCCCATTCAATCGGCATTAGAGGCCATTTGGCCATCTTTCTTCGTAATTTCCTCGAACCTCGCACCTTCAGAGTTCGTTGTCAAACCACGCTCTCTGACGCTTTCCGAATGGAGCACGGTGTACCCCAAGGAAGTGTATTGTCACCTACCCTATTTCTAATCGCTATTAATGATCTCTTTTTATCACTTCCACGGTTTCTTACCCTCTCTGTCCGTTACTCACTCTTCGCCGACGATATCGCAATATGGGTCTCCCACAAAAGCTATAAACAAGCCTTTTCAATTATACAAAAGGTAATCGATCACTGCGTTCAATGGTGTAGGAAATGGGGCTTCTTTCTGTCAGCTCCTAAGTCAGCTCTGATGGTCTTTAAAAGGGGACCTCTACCGTCCTTGGACGAATCGCCACAGATTGATGGAAATAAAATCCCGTTTTACACATCTCACAAATTTTTGGGGATAATCTTGGACTCAAATCTGACTTTTCGACTCCACGTAGAGCACATCAGGACACGTTGTCTTAAAAGAATAAACGCTTTAAGATGCATCGCAGGTTTCACCTGGGGTGCGGACAGAAAAACGTTGTCAATGCTTTATATAGGACTCATCCGATCTACTCTCGAATACAACTGTTACCTTTTCAGTACACTCTCGCCCACTCTTTGTAAACGCCTCGAAGCCATACAATCAAACTGTCTACGGATGATAACCGGGGCGTTCCGCACAACACCGACACTCTCCCTGCGAACGGAGGCAAACCTGCCAGCACTAGAAGACCGCCGTTTCTTCCTTTTCCTACGATACTACTATCGCGCCAAAAGTATTCCGAACCATTCTGCAATTCCAGCGATGGAAGCCAGGAAACCCTTTTCCCGGCAACCTCTCCGCAGGTCGTGTTTCCTTCCCGAAATTATAAATCAGGCTCATGAAATACTCAACATTGGCCGAATAAACGTTGCCTCTAAACCGCCTATGCTTCCCTTCTGGCTCCTGCGAGATATTTCTATTGAATATCTTTTTAACGATTCAAAATCTAACATTTCGCCAATGGATGCCCAACTGCTGTTCCATGAATATGTACAGAGAAACCTAGACTCCACATTCTTCTACACTGACGGCTCATGTCTTTCAAACCAAACGGGCGCGGCAGCCGTGGGCCCGAATATTAGATACAAAATACGCCTGCAAGACCATGCCACTATTTTTTCAGCAGAAGTTCACGCTATTCAAACGGTAGTCCGTCATATACAAACACTTCACATTGAACAGGCAATAATCTGCACCGATTCCAAATCTGCCCTTCAGGCTCTAGAAAGAACTGATAACGTCACCCACTACTGCATCCAAAATATCCACAAAATGCTACTAGAACTAGACGAAAGTCAGCATATAACTTTTCTTTGGGTGCCAAGTCATTGTGGCATCGCAGGGAATGAGCTAGCAGACACCCTCGCTAAGGAAGGAGCAATGAGAGCAGATCCTAGTGGGGTGCCTCTCTCGATCGGGGACGTCTGCCACAAACTCCGAACAAAATTTAATACTTACCTACAAAACAAATGGAATCAAACTCACTCTCCTCATTTATATGCGATCAAGCAAAATCTTACATCCTGGACAACTTGTAACCAGCCAAATAGGATTCGCGAGGTTACACTGGCAAGGCTACGATGCGGACATACTCGTTTCACCCACTGTCATCTTTTCGAAAGGACGGACCCACCAATATGCCAAACATGCAACACACGCATTACGGTTGAACACATTCTAATCGGATGCACAGCCCTCCGCAACGAACGAAAACATATCAACAACCACCTTACAAAATATCGCCTCAGAAACGACCTTCCGACTCTTCTCGGAGATGATCCAGCACTAACTGATCTAGTACTTGATTTTGTCTTAAACTCACCTTATTCCGACAAACTGTAAAGTATGCACCATTACTTGACCTCCTTCTCGCTATCATCGTAAGGGACTGTCCACATACTCTGGGACTGTCCCTTCACCCACTGCACAACGACGAGCAGCGGCCAAGGATTCTACAGTCACGGACCCGGCCGCTGAACAGCGGCAGCGGCCGGGTTTGGGCGACCACAGGCCCGGGTACAGCAATCGGCCTTCAACAGCGGCAGCGACATATCCCCCACTCTTCAAACCATTCCTATCATCCAACTTTATCGTAACATCGTAACCCTA